TACTTGGCCTTGATACCTCTGAGCTGAGTGTACATGGTACAGGCACTCCAGGGTCCCTGGTTCCTGAGCAGTGTCTGGAGCCTCCTCCTCGGCTCCCACCACCCCAGAATTGTATCATTTTTAAGTTGCTCTGATAGCACAGCGGATTAGCAGAAGGTAAGCCTAGGAGAAGAAGGAATCAGGATATCTGACAATAATATCAATCACTGAAATAAGGAACATGGGAAGAAATAGTTTGGAATATGGGGTATGGTAATGGTAGGAAATGACAGTTTGAGGTAGTGGATTAGAAGACAGTATTGAAGCTTACCTAAAATAGCACAGAGAGATAAAAATATAAAAGAGCTGTCAAAAGTCATGGAGGATGTATTGAGATAATCCATTGTACATATAATAGGAAATCCAGAACAAAATAAAAAAGGGAATGGTGGAAAACAATTTTAAAAGAGATAATGACTGAGAGTTTTCCAGAATTGAAAGAATAAAAAGTCTTCATTCAGGTTGAACGTGCACGTTGAATATGAAGCAGGAAAAATAAAAGTAAATCTATACCAGGTCACTTCACAGTGAAACTTATGTACATGAAGGGTTAAAGGAAAATAGTGAAAACTTCCAGAAAGAAAAGACAAATTCCCTACAATAGAACAGTAATTAGACCAGCAGTATGCTTTCCTTCAGCAATAGTAATACATGCTGAAGGTGGTGCAGTAATATCTTTAAAGTGCTATGAAAAGCACCACCCACTCATCACACAATGCATGTGTGGAATTGATTCACAAAATCCTTACAACTCCCTCCAGAAAATTCTGGATGCTCGTCTTTCTAAATTCTCTCAGGTCTAAAGATTGATCTCTTTGCCTCTTATCCTGAGGTAGATTATTATTATTTTTAAAATATATTTTTATTGATTTCAGAGAGAAAGGGAGAGGGAGAGAGAGATAGAAACATCAATGATGAGAGAATCATCGTCTGCGCACCCCACTGGGGATCGAGCCTGCAACCTGGGTATGTGCCCTGACTGGGAATCGAACTGTGACCTCCTGGTTCATAGGTCAATGCTTAACCGCTGAGCCATGTCGGGCAGGCCTGAGGTAGATAATTAACTAAAACTCACAAAATTGATTTCAAATGTCTTGAATTGATTTAGCATGTCCTGAATAGATCTTCTATTAATGCCCTCAGCCTTTGGGACATCTGCCAGAATTCTGAAATAACATGAACCTCATGTTTACCATCCTATTGCACTAAAAAATATTAAACCAATTTTGATTGCTCTCTATTTTTAAAAAAATATTTTTTTATTGACTTAGACAGGGAGGGAGAGGGAGAGAGAGATAGAAACATCAATGATGAGAGAGAATCACTGGCCGGCTGCCTCCTGCATGCCCCCACTGGAGATTGAGTCTGCAACCCAGGTATGTGCCCTTGACCAGAATCAAATCCAGGACCTTCAGTCCGCAGTCTGATGCTCTATCCACTGAGCCAAACCAGCTAAGGCAGATTGCTCTCTATTTTCTAAAAAAGTTATTTTTTATTGTTGGCAGTATTACAGATGTCCCCCATTTCCCCCTTACTGCCCCCTCCACCCAGCCCCTGCCCCACCCCAGGCCTTCAGCATACTATTGTCTGTGCCCATGGGTTATGCATATATGCATATAAGCTCTTTGGTTAATCTCTTCTCTCCCCCCTACTCCCCTTCCTTCTGGATCTGTCAGTTTGTTCCATGCATCCATGTCCCTGGACCTATTTGTTCATTCATTGTTTCTACTCTAAAACAAAAATTGCTAGGTGGCTAAATATAATTTAGACATTTATTTTAGCTTTTAGGATACAATACTGTTAGTTAATCTCATCACTTCACACTTATAAAAATATTAATATGCTTACAGTTAGTTTAAAGAAAAATGTATCTACTTTAAAAATTTCTTAAGAAATGAACTATAATTCTGAAAGCAAATATTTTCGTAATTTCCAGACTTTTGTAGCCACACACTTTTTAAAAAAAAATACATTTTATTGATTTTTTACGAAGCAAATATTTTCTTAATTTCCAGACTTTTGTAGCTACACACTTTAAAAAAAAATTTTATTGATTTTTTTACAGAGAGGAAGGGAGAGGGATAGAGATTTAGAAACATTGATGAGAGAGAATCGTTGATTCAGCTGCCTCCTGCACACTCCCTACTGGGGATGTGCCCGCAACCAAGGTACATGCCCTTGACTGGGATCGAACCTGGGACCCTTCAGTCCTCAGGCCAACGCTCTATCCATTGAGCCAAACCAGTTAGGGCGCTACACACTTTTTAAAAAGTATTTTGCATTATATGGTTTTTTTTAGCAATTTGAAATTAGAGTTGATTATCATTCCATTAAATTCAGAATAATCATACATTTATAGGACACTATGATTAAATCAGAGTAATCAACAGAATGATTATACATCTATAAGGGAATTATAATTAAATCACAATAATTTATTTGTATGAGCCCAACTAAATTTTTAAAATTTTAGTTTTATTATGTAGTACTTCACAGTATGTATTTTATTATCTGGGTAGTTATATTTTGGATAAATATGTTGTTAGAAAACGTTGTATCACGATGATGCTATAGCAGAAAGATCACTTACGTCTTGCTCATACTTCTTTTGTCAAACTTGTATATTTGTTTGAAATAAACTCTTTGGCTTTCACTGGGACCCTGAGTGTCAATAAGTAAATGATATTTTAGTTTTTCCACAAGTGTGTGTGGACTTCTCTCATTCTGCATTCCTAACAGGGATAAAAGTTCAGTAAATACTTTAATGTATTGATATTTTTAGCCAGTTCATCTTGATCTAATAATTAGTAGTAATCTGTTACATAAGAAATATAACTAAAACTCTTCTTTGGTAATAGTTTTTTTCCTTCTAATTGACATTATTGGCACATGGCTCACTCTATTATCTATCTATCTATCTATCTATCTATCTATCTATCTATCTACCTATCTATCTATGCATTTATAGACACACACGCACACACATACAAAGAGCTAAATGGTTAAAAGCCAATATAATATGACATATAGGAGAGCGGGCTCTGTGTAGAACAGACCTATGTTTGAACTTTCTGTCGTATTCTAGTTGTGTAACTTTAAGAATATTAATCTCTCTAAATCTCAATTTCATAATTCATAAAAAGTTTTTATGTGTGTGTGATGACCAAATAAGATACTGTAAAGCAGTTAGCATTAAGTAGCATATAGCAAGTGGTCATTAAATATTAGCTTGTATTGTGACCATTTATATCTCTTATTTTTGTTTATTTTTCCTCTTTCCTGTTTGGGGTTTGTAGCAATTTACCATGTTCTTTAGAGAAATAGCTCAATGGGAACCATTCCAATGGCTGGTGGACAAAACTTAGAAGAGCCACTGCCATTTTGTTTTGGATATCTAGAGAACAAATGAATACTTGGGGAACATAAAGCATGGAAAATTCTCCTGTGGATTCCAGACCGCTAAAATGCACTTATACACACCAACAAGGGGTGTATTTAGATAAAGAAATGCCAGGTTAAATTTTATCAGAACTAAGTGAAATATATTCTTTTATATACTTTAGGAAGCTCAGAAGCTGACCAGTTATAAGTGGAGGCCTATATTGCAATTGAAAAACTATTTCCAATTATTTAGTTTCTAATAAACAAAGTGTCACTGGGGGGTGGATATGACAATGCATGACAAAAAGTTTATGGGCTTTGGAATTCAAATATCTCTGAATGTATTGCATTTATGTCATTCACCAGCGGTGTGCTCTTTGGCAAATGATTTGGTCTCTCACAGCCTCCGTTTTCTCAGCTATAAATTGAAACTAATGATACCTGCCTTTCAGAGTATTATGAGAAATAATGAGGTTATGTATCTAAAGTGCCTATCACAGTGTCTGCACTTGATAGGTCCTCAATAGTGTTAACTGTGGTTATCAAGAAAGTACTTATAAAGTAGACTACAATATAATAGCGCTATCAGAACCAAAGCTGCTCAATACAATGAGCTTTAAGGTTATTGCTATCAGTCATAATAATTGACATTTACTTAGTCTTTATTCTATGGCAATCCTGGGTTGTGTGTTCTCTGCATTATCACATTTAATCTCCACAGCAGTCCCACCATTTGGATGTTGTCATCCCCATTTTAGAGAGCAGGAAAATGAAGCTTAGGGAGAAGAAATGAAATGCTTGAGGTTATGTGGCTATTAAGTGCAAAAAATGGCCTGGAATCTAGGTTGAGTCTGAATCAAAAGTGCAGCCTCTAACTACCAGGTTTTACCACCTCTTACTTAGTTATACAGTCTGAAAAAAAAAACAAGGAAAAAGAATCTCTTGTTAGATAGAATGACCCTACTCAACCTTTAGCAAAGATAAAACATGTTACTTCTCAAAGGCTTTAGTTAATGAATAGGAAATCAAACATTCAAACTTTAAGCTCTGACTTTGTAAATTTTCCTGAAATGAAAAAAAAACCAATGGCTGTATCATCAGGTCACAATTGCCATCACGTGTAATCCATTTCTTACTTGTTTTGCCTCTGGTTAGCCTCAAGTTCTTTTTCACCTGTATCTTTTAAGTGTACTCTACATGCGTTATGAACAGCACACCCAGAAACATATCTTGGCATTAAAATTCCATGAGGTCCATGTTGGGAATCAGATTACTACCCTTATTTTTAGCTGTCAACATTGTACTCTTTCCATTGCACTTTTAAATATCCAGTGATAAAGTGATATTGAAAATAGTTCTTCTAGCTAAATAAAAATCCTCACTTTGGTTTAATCAAGCCAGATCCACTGAGTGGCATTAATGTAATTACATTAGTGAGGCAGCTACCAGACTGTGCCTTTCTTTTCCTCTCGGTTTAGGACTACCCTCATTTGCTGCTATATTTATCTGCCTTCTTGGCCATAAAAGGCTGGCTGTGTGGCTCTGACATTCTACTGCCTGACCACATGCATTATTTTTGAACTGGCCCCCAGGGTCCTGTCTTCAGCCCTGCCTCTTAACTTTTTCTGGGATCAAACTACGTGGGTTTTTCATCTCTCATCCAGTCCTACAACCACGTCGGAACGTTTTTACCACCGTCACTCTTTTGGAAACTGGTAAGTGTGACATTGAGACAGAAAAATGCACTAGATATTTTATGTGCTTAACAGTACTATGGTGTGTGTGGTTTCTTACTATCTTCTGAGCTCAGCAGTTTTCTCAAAGAGATGTCAGAATAGCAGAGAAATAGGAAAGTGGAGCCCCTGGGAAGGAAGACAAGAGCAACTGAGTGCCGGTTTTTGCTGGCACAGCTATTCTCTCAGCTCATTGTATTATTTTTAAATCAGGCTACCATTCCTGGAAATAATGGCTGTCTCAGATGGAACTGTAAGCGTGAGTTAGGTACTCTTTACAACTTACAATTCAGTGGTTTGGTTGAAATATGGAATGGAGATGCGGTGACAGGAAATCATGTACTTTCTATCCTCCGTATGCCCACAATACTCCCTGATTACTAATCAGACCTAAAGGAGGTAAATTAACTCTGAAGTCACCAGTTTCCAATTCAGTGATTTTGCTCTGACAGTGCCATGTAGGTAAATGTAAGAGTGCATTATTACGATATTCCTGACCTGAAAATGGTCAGACAGTATTTCAGAGGCAACATAGATCCCCACATAATGACCCTGAAGTTAACACTTTCTGTGAATAATTTTTATCAACTTTTGGCCTCTAATGTCTGTAACAAAAGTATCATATCAGGATTTCAACTATGGGGTTAGCATTTCTTCCTAAATTCCCAAATTATTTTCCAGCAGAAAACACAGGTCTTAGAGGAACAGAAGACAAACAAACCGCCTTTCCTCCCTACATACTCTAGATGTCTTGTGTTGGGGATAATCCTCACTTACTGAGGAAGAGACAGTAGTTGTACCTTGGTTCCAGAGGTCAGAGCTGTGACAATCAGCTCTGCTGACTTAAAGCCAAACCCTGTATACTTGTAATTCGTTATCTATGTGCTTGGAATATTAGGTCTTATTAAAAATAAATATATCGGGGGAAAATAGAAATCGAGTGGAAAGTGTAATTGGGGCAAGATATTTAAAAAATTTATTTTGTGAAAATAACAGCATTTCAAGTCATCTGAGTTGTGAATTTAGCTTATAAAATAAAACATAAGAAGGTCATTAATTATTTATTTGAATCTTATTCTAATAACATTTGCCATGTTGCAGTGCAGTATGTTATATTACAGAAATATCTAATATCTTTATAACTTCCAAACATGATATACTTTTACATGAATATATTCTAACCCTTTTGTTTTATCAAAATTTATGTAATAATTATCCATTACAAATGATAATTATGTGTATTTTAGAACAGAAAACAGCAATCTATTTAAGAGTTGAAGCAAAGTTGCTTGCTAGTCACTATTTCTTTCCTCTTGGGAAATGCGATATAGACTGATATCTTTCATGAGCGCTAAGATAAATATTTCTGGAGTGAAGTTTACTGGATTTTCTTCTCTAGGGAATACATGCTGACTTTTTAAATAGTTTAAAGAAAAAGTAGATTTAAACTTTGACAAACAATATGGCAAATTTCAAAGGATTTACTCCTCATTTAGAACTTGAAAAAGTTTTGGAAAAAATGACCAATTTACTTGTAAAATTTAAAAATAACATTTCAGAACACAAGAAAAGCATTAAAATTGGAATGGGGACTCCATAAAACTATTTTCTACATCCAGGGTTGTCAGTGTGGCTGATAGGCTTCTGTCAGTGGACAGATTATTCAAGAAAACTAATGAAATCTCCCCACTCTATGCTAAGCAAACATATTTAACTTTCAGTAGAACTGTTAGCTCAAGTTCACAATGCAAATTGCTACACTGATGACTGACTTCTTTATGTTAGAGAATTAGAAACCTTCATATTCTTAATGGAGCAAATTTCTATGGTTTGACACTATACCTTTTTTAAGTATTTGTGAGAGCTCATTATACAATATAAGCACACTCCAGGGTTCAGTCTTTGGACTTCCTTTTCCATATACAATATATATATCTCTCTCTCTATCTCTCTCCCTCTCTCTCTCTCTCTCTCTCTCTCTCTCTCTCTTGGGTTTAAATATCATGTGTAAGCTGGTGAGTCCCAATTGTTGGTCTTCATCCTGGACCTTTATCCTATACTCCAAAGTCACATACCCAACTTTCCATTTTACATCTCCACTTGGATGTCTAGCAGGTATCTCGTACAATGTCTTAAATCAATCTTCTAATTTTCAATCCAAACTGCTACTTTCTTACACTCTTGCCCATCTCAGTTAATAGCAACTTCAATCTTGCAATTATGCAAAAACCTTGGAGTCATTTCTCACTCTTTTTCTTTCACATCCCAAACCAGTACTTTCAGCAAATACTACTGGTTCTACCTTCAAAACATGTGGGGAGTCTGATTGATCACTTCTCACACTTCCATTGCTGCCACTATCATCTCTAGCCTGGACTATTGCAATGGCCTTCATATTAATTTGCTAGGACTCCCATTACAAAGTACCATAGTCTGGGTGACTTAAACAACAGAGATTTATCTTCTCACAATTCTGGAGGCTAGAAATCTGAGATCAAGGTGTTGGCAGACTTGGTTTTTCTGAGAAGGTCACGTTGGATTTCCACTCAGGGCACATGCCGTGGTTGCAGGCTCGATCTCCAGTAGGGGGCGTGCAGGAGGCAGCTGACCATGATTCTCTCTCAAAGTTGATGTTTCTCTCCCTCTCTCTGAAATCATAAAAATATATTAAAAAAAAAAAGTTCTGAGGAAAAGCACAATAGCTACGAAAGGGAAACTTTGTAAAAACCTAATATATATATGAAAGGAAGGAGGTAAGGAGGAAAAGAGAAGAAGGGGAGGAGGGGAGGAGAGGGAGAGAGAAGAAAGGAAAAAGAAAGTTGCACAAGGACAGCTGGGCATGAAGTAGGAAGTTCATTGAGTAGCCAGTTAAGCTGTATTTCACATCATTTTCCATTTACTCTTGGGAAAAGATAAGAGTATTAATGTTTACACATTGGTTTTGATTACTTCTTCTATAGGATTTGTTCCTTAATAATTTACTCAAAAAATGGTTGCTTTCTTACAGGTTGCCTGGTTCCCTGGGGGCACATGATGTCTCTGCCGTTTTATCAGAAATTGCATGAGCATTATGATCGCAGCTACCGTAACAAGGACCTTCGCACCACCATGAGCCAGTACCATGAGCAGGAGAAGAAAAGTTCTGCCATCTACACACACGGCTCAACGGCCTACAGCAGCCGCTCATTGGCCGCGCACCGCCAGGAATCCCAGGCCTTTAGCCAGGCGTCATCGTCATCAGCCTCCTACCTGCAGCAGGCGTCCCAGGCCACCACCGAGTCCTCCCTGGCATCTGCAGTCAGTCGGAAGGCGGCCTCAGCCTACGATTATGGCTACTCCCATGGGTATGTCAAAAGCAGCCTTCCAACCTTAGGGCAAAGGCTCATTCTTCAAATACCCCTCCCACATCACGTTTTCTTTTCTTCTTAAATCTGGCATCTCTGCATTTAAACCAGATGTGGAGCAAGTGTGTGTATTTGGGAGAACTGGGACCTCCTATTTCCCTTCACCCCATCTCTTTGAGTTTCTCAAAGTGCTTCACAATCACCCTGAGGATCCTTGCTTGATTTTTAGAAGCAGATACGGTTTGCCACAGGTTGCATTCGTAGCAGAGAGCCAGAAAATATCATTTCAACACTCACAACAGGTTTCCTGGCTTTCAGAATGTTTCTACTTAGATGAGAAGGCAGTAGAGAATTTAAAATTCACAGGTCACAGGAATCCACAACACCATGAAGATGGGTTTTAATTTTTCAGTATCCGAAAGCCCATGTCAGCACTGTTATTCAGGCAGCAGACATTTTCTCCAGCTGGAGGAAGATGGATTCTAATTTTTCAGTATCTGAAAGCCCGTGTTAAAATTCAGCCCTGTTATTCAGGCAGCAGACATTTTCTCCAGCTGGAGCATTTTATTAAAACATGCCCCACCTCACTCACTCAGCCTAAGAATACCAGGAACAAACCTGGAGTTGGTATAGGATTCTAGAAAGAGTGGAATTTAGATGCAAGTCTGGTCTGCAAAGGGAACCCAGGGATGCTGTTTTTTGGAAACAGTGAGTTGAGGGAAGCATGGACTGTCCTATTAAACCCTTTATGTGGAATCAGCTCTGGGCCTGGGGATCAAGCTGCTTTTCTGTGTCAGCAGCTCCTGAGGTCTTCTAGGCAAGAGTGCGATGTCACATTCTTACTGATAAAATTTCAAACAGCAACCTGATAGTCTTTTAAAAAAATATATATATTTTATTGATTTTTTACAGAGAGGAAGGGAGAGGGATAGAGAGTTAGAAACATTCATGAGAGAGAAACATCGATCATCTGCCTCCTGCACACCCCCTACTGGGGATGTGCCCGCAACCAAGGTACATGCCCTTGACCGGAATCGAACCTGGGACTCTTCAGTCCACAGGCCGACGCTCTAGCCACTGAGCCAAACTGGTCAGGGCCAACCTGATAGTCTTTATATTAGAGATAAAGTTTCAGTGGTCACTCAAAGAAGGAAGTTGCCATGACACTTTATAGCAGTAGTGTTCCTTGGGAGAAATGTTTCCTGTGACTTTGCTGTTGGCTTCTCTGTCTGTTGTTCCAGCCTGCTGAGTAGATATTTACTTTCTCAGTCCAAGCTAATTTTAATTTGTTCAATACCCAGAATGAAATTTTTCAGGGGATTAAAGCCCCCTGGCAAGATCCATGTGATTTTATTAAAAAATCAATCTATTGTCCTCACAAAGAATTGCTGAATTTCAACACTGGGCTATGTGGTAAATAATGATCTGCTGCCTCAAATTCTTTCCAAACCATCTGACATAGGTTGCATTTTTGTTCTAAACATAATGAAAATTTAAGCCTTACAAAATTTGAGCCCACAAAATATCTGTTAGGACACCTGGAAAAGGCATGTATTTCTGGGAATTAAAATAGTTATTGAGGAAATAACACAGTGGTTTGTATGAACAGAAGTGAAGAAGGTTTCTGAAGGCAGAAATTCCTGATTTCCTATTGGGATTAAGGAGCACCTGATGTAGGGCTGTCATTTCATGGGCACTGACAGTGACCTCCTGGGAGCTTCTGCTATGTTCAGTAACAGAGCCAGAGTCCATTGGGGTTTACCTGGAATGTATGATGTCAACATTCTTAAATTCCATTTAAAATGGAACAGGCTCATTTTGCAGTCTCACTTTCATGAGTCATATTCTGCCATAGGATATTCATTAGGATCTCAAATTGGCTGCAAATGTGGAAATATTGTCACTGAGAGAAATTCATTTCTTTTAGCACTTGCTTCAAATGAACTGCCTTGCAAAGGAAAGTTGGGAGGAATTAACACCATCTGTATGTGATAGCATCATTTTGCTCTCCTGAACAATATTCCATAGATATGTTTAATAACCTCATTTAGGAAAGCAGCTGTCTTATAAAAGAGGAGGGTTGTATTTTAAATATCCATTTTCCTGGACTATCTGTGCTGAGTCTATAGAAGATGGGTATTTTCATTATCATACCACTATTAATGTAACTCCTTGTGTACTTACTGATGCTTGTAGAATCTATAGAATTTATGAATTTGTATTTCTTTTGTGTTCTTTACTTTAACTCTATTGCTAAATTTTATGTTAAAATTATTTTAACTTTACACAAATACTTTTAACCACATATGCAGTATTCATATTTATTCATAATCTGATCTATTACACCAAACATTAGTAATTAAACTTTTGAGAATTTTTATATTTTATTTAGAAAACATTTGCTCTATGTAACCATTGGAAGACTTAGCCAGTTTAGCTATAAAGAGTCTCACATAATAAACTTTCTATAGGAAACAGTACTGTAGTTATTTTTCTATAGTCAACCTCATATCTTGTTCCTTCCTGCTATGTATGTATTTAAGTAGGTAGGTATTTATTAATGGCTTTCTATATTTGAATAACTCAAACTTCTTGGTAAAAACATGTTGACCTAGAAATGAGAGGGAAGAAAATGCCAATATTTTTTCTTTGTATAATGCAATGTAAAAGAAAAGAAAGCCAACCTAATTCTGGGAGTATTTTAGTCTTTCTTTTTTTAGACCTAAAGCTAATAGGTGCAGATAATATTCCTTGAACATTTCAAAATCTTCATAATTCCTATAGGTCCTATTTAACCTTTTCAAAGTGGAGCAACTTTTTCCTGCTAAATGAAATATCTCTCTTTAGATTGTGGTCAATGTTGTTTATTAAAACCCCTAGGGTTGGAACTGCAATTCTATGGAGTATATGTACGTACTAGGTGTGATCTGATTTTAGCCTCTGCTTTGTAGTTATATGTCTAGTGTTAAAGTGGAAACTACAGAGATTTATACTGTGCTCAGGAGTTGGCTGACCTCAGTTTTAAGAACAATGGCTCATCCAGAGTCAATGTGGTTATAGCACAGATCAGTTACCAATTGCATTCCGAGCCAAGGGTTATAAAATAAATTCCGGAGGCTTATTCTAAATGCCTTTATTATTAGTCACAGTGACAAAAGAAAGTATTTCAGGAAAACAAAATGATACAAATTACTGTTTTATGCTAGCAGTTCACAAATATTATCAGGGACTAAAAGAGAAATGGTACTCATGGCCACTTTATAACCATTAGGCAAAGGTTCTTAAACTCTGTCCATAAATAGGTTTCAACCGAGTCTTGGATGATCTGAAATTATGTGCAAAATTAGGCACAGATGAGAATTTTTTGTTGTTGAAGCTTTTATCAGATTCTCGGAGAACTTTGTGACTCAACAATGGTCAGAACCACTGCACTAGAAAGTCAACACATGTACCAGACAGCCTAGTGCATGGCCTGAGGATCCCTTTCCTAACGCCAACAGTATTAGGAGTTGAGATGAAATAAGGCAGATGTCTACAGATAATATGGCATTATGGAAAATAAGTTACCTTCTTTTCTTTTGAGTAAGCTGGATCACACATTAAGGTGGAAATAATAGCCCTGGACGGAGTTGCTAAGTGGTTAGAGCATTGGCCCGTGCACTGACAGATCGAGGGTTCAGATTCCTGGTCAAGGGCACGTACCTGGGTTGCCAGTTCCATCCCTGGCTCTGGTTGGGTTGTGTGCAGGAGGCAACCAATCAATGTGTCTCTCTTGCATCAATGTTTTTTGTTTTCTCTCTCTCTCTCCCTCCCTCCCTTCCACTCTCTCTAAAAATCAATGGAAAAAGTATCATCAGGTGAAGATAAAAAAATACGGAAATAAAAAATATTTTGTTATTCTTGATAAGTAGGAATGAATAACTTAAAAAAAACCAGTAACAACATAGCACATAGTTCTTGGATGATAGAAGGATTTGGGGATGTCTCAACCCTCTCTGGTAATGGTAGATATTTAATTGTCTGATTCTAAACAAATTAAAATTCAGTCCCCATAATGTAATTAACATAGCATCCTCTGTACCACTATATCTTTATATTAGCCCTGAGAAGTAGAAATTCTTATCCTTACTTTACAAAAGAGAAAATTGGAGGCCAAAAAGATTAAATAACCTTCCTTACACGAAGAAGGGATGGAATAGCAATTTGACCCCCTCTACGAATGTTCCCCACCCCTTTCCATGGGAACACGAGCCAGTTAATGGTCAACAACCCCCCTTGACCACACTGCCACCAGTTTTTTCTTGAAGCATCAATATATAGGTTTGTGTTATGCTTCTTTATTTGCCCTTCTCCTGGAGAAGCCATTAAACACCAAAATAACCAAGATTTAGAGCAGGGAACAATAGATGGAAAGGCACAAATTCTAAGACAAAAAAATCCAAAGGCATTTATTAATGGAACCTTACAGATTCCTTAACTTGTCACTTAGAATCAGACATAGAGACTCACAAGGGACTCTGGTAGGTACCAGTTCAGGGATGAGAAAGTTGAGGCCTCAGTAACTTGTCCAGGGAACTGCCTAACTTTAAATTGTGCCCCTTATCTATACTCATGTCCTGCTAATCAGCTCCCCTCTGTTATTGCCCTGATAATAATCTCTTTTGGAATTACTAGAGTTTGCAAAGAACATGCTAATGCTCAAACTAATTCTAATTCAGACACAAGATACCAGTGCTAAAAATAGAGACCACTAAACACAGAAACCCCCACTTTTTATTGGTGGATCTGATTATGGTAAGGTCTGAGAGGGGCCTGAAAACTTGCTTCATCTCCCACTGCAATAGAGTTTCAAAGGATGTTACCAAAGAAATCCACTGCCTTGTGGACATTTTTGTGTCTTGATTTCAACGATTGGTATCAGTTTAGTGTCCATTTTCTACATACCCATTTCTAGATGTTATATTGGGAAGTACATAATCTTTGGGGTCAAACAGGCCCGT